TTAAATCTTAGTTTTATTTATAAAAATATTAACCAAACTTTGAATTATTTCAAGAAAAAGCGGCCAAACAGCAATGAAAGAACAAACTTTATCAACTATTTTAAGATAAAATAAAATGTGTGTGTGTTTGTTTTTAGTTCGATTTTATATACAAAACATACTTTTTAGTTTTAGTTGCATATACTTCATGGAGAAGCGACCAAAATTTAAGGATTGAGCCAGATGAATGGAGAACATTAGGAGCCAATTCGTTTGCATGTAAAAATTGCAAATTGTACAGCAGTTTAAGAGAACTTCATAACCAACAAGTTTATCAAAAAATCGGGAATCAAAATTTGTGAATGCTCTATCCATTGCTTAAAATTTTGATAGAAACAAGAAAATAACTGCAAACCAGTCAGTCAATAGTGAATTTCTTTGCTATAGCAAGTGAGAGGACATATTTCATGCAATCAATTTTTACAAAGGGCAAAATTCAAAATTTTAAACCTTGCACACCTTTTTACAAATACCCAAAAGACTCGAAAACACAATATTCTAGCCAAGTTCTGTGACTCTTACAATCAATGGCTGGGGGTAGCTCAAGATAGACCACCCCGCCAACCACCCTACCCCCTAATCTCCTTTACAAATTTTCTTGCCAAGAACCAATCAATATGAATACTCCATTCCCCGTACACGATTCTTGAGAATTCCACTGTACAAAGCCACATGATTTGCTGGCATTCCTTTCAATTCAAGAATTTCAGTTCCACAAGAAGTGGATTGAACAACGTCTCTATGATTTCTGTGTGTTTTCCTGTACACTTCACTACTACCACTTGAATCTTTAACATCATCAGCAAATTGAACCCTCTTCTTATTCTTTTTCAGCCCTTTCTTGCTCCCTATTACACACCATAAACAAGACCCATATCAGAAAACCAAAAAAAAGTGCATTTTCAAACCCGCAGTACTGGACTAAACAGTTACGTACCCGAAGATAAACAAGACTTGAGAAATTGTTTCTGAGGATGTGATTCTTGAGTTCTTGGAAATTGGGTTGAAGGGAAATACTTTTCTTTCAGAAGATCAAAGACAATTATTGTGCCTGCAGAGACAGCCATGGCTGTTGCCAAAACCAGACCTTGTGAACTCAACATAGAAATTTGTGTGTGTTCTGTATATGAAAGTCTAGTGGGGTTGTTGTGAAGTAGTTGTTAGTGCAGGTTATTTATCTGGTGTGGCTGTGGGTTGTTGTGAAGTAGTTGTTAGTGCAGGTCAGAGAGAATCTTGATTGTTTTGTAGAAGTAAAGAGTCTGGATCTATCTGGTGTGTCCAAGTAGAAGTGGGACTATGGATTTGTGTTCTGTTTCTGGCAGTGGTCAAATTTTAGTCCTCCTTTTGTGCGTTTCGTTCGGAGAGGCACGTCGTGTTGAATCTCAATTTCTTGGACCGTTCACAGTCAACGAGACTACTTAAAAAATGTAAGTACATGGGCACATACTCCTTTTATTTTTTTGGATTGTGCTACATGTACACTTCATGATTTACACAATTCTTTACATCACTCTCACATGGAGGGAGTCCACGATTATTTTATTGTGTGTGGGCCCCCTCCATGTGAAAGAGGTGTAAAGAATTGTATAGAGGATTATGTACATTTAGCATAATCTTTTTTTGTTTTTTTTGGATAACAATGGTTACCATATGCTAAGAAGGTTTTACATGATTGTTCACCAACCCTCTTGCGGATGAGCCAAGTGTCCTAAACTACATCATATCTACACAAAACGACACCATGTACTTGATCTAACTTTTACATTCTGTCTCCAATTGGACACTAACAAGTGTGTGGAGGGAACTTGAGACTTCATGTAGAAGTTCAAAATACATTTTCCAAGTAGAGATTGATATGTGACAAGTTTTTTTTGTTTTGATTTAGGATTTTGGACATTGTCATTTAATTTTCAGTTTCTTATGTACCGAAATTGAGGACCCCTCAGATTAGATTTCATATTCATGCTCTACCATTCAAACAATTGGAAAAATAAAACCTTGATTACCGATTTCGAATCTCATTTTCAATTCTATAAGTAGTTATATGTGTAGAATTGAACATGATAGTTGTTAATCTTATCAATCTTTTTTAATCCTATCACATCATAATTCACTTAAGGGGATATATTCAATTGAAACTATCGAAAATTTTGATTGACTTTTTTTAGTAATGATTTATGTGAATTTCGTGAATTTTTTTTATAGATTTGTGTGAAGATTGCATGGGTTGTGTTTGAAGGGACATCGACATCTATTAACCCGAAAATAGTGTCATCAACTCTCATGAACAACTTTGAAGAACTCTGATGCCATACTAACACCATTTCTTATTCCCTACAAACACTAGTATGTTTTAGAAATGAAAATTCAATCGTATGACCTCATTAGACAGTAATGATTTGTGGAAGGCAGTCTGATTTAGTGCCAAGATTACGAGCATTGACATCGGAAAAACTTCGGTCCCGACAGTTTCGTGACATCTACTTCACTAGCAATACCAATACGATAGCGGAGCAGGTGACTGCATGCCCGGCCTTGGCCCAAAGTAAACTAGGACATTGCTTAAGGCCTCAAGATCTGAAAGGCCTAAAAAAGGGGAAAAAAAATCATAAATAAGAGGTTACGTATTACTTATTTCAAAATTAAGAACAAATGTTTCAAATTTCAAAAATAGATCCTAATTAAAATTTATTTATGATTTAATTAATTAAATATATTAAGGTCACAAATTTATATAATTTGGTCACAAATTAACGATTTAATTATTCACATATTATATTTCGATCACAAATCATAAATTTTAAATGATACAAATTATTTTTATGTTCACAATTTAAAAATTTTATAAATCATAATTTGCTCATCGATCACAAATCAAAACTTTATACGTCACAATTTATTTATCGATATCAAGGCACAAATATTATAAGTCACAACTTAATGACAGTCACAAGTTGTCAAATTATCGATCACAAATTAAAATTTTCTTAGGTTATACATTATTTCTTGATCACAATTTTTTTTTTATTGGTCACATATTGTTTATTGGTCACAGATTAACCAATTTAATGATCACAATCAACTAAATAATTTATTACCACAACCTACACTTGTCACCATAACCGCACCTCTCCCTCCCTCCCTCCCTCCCGCAGCAGCGCACCACCACTTTCGCTGTCGAACCACCTCTACCACCTCCCGATAGCAACACTGCCACCTCAAACAAATCAAACACATCGCAGAAAAACACTACCACATCGTCACGCAGTTCCACCAACACCTTGACAAACCCATCGCCGCCGCCAACAAAAGCACATCGACCACCATATCCAGCACCCCCACAATCATCTGGACCGCTAGAAATCCACCACCACCACAGATCCACAGATCCACCACCACGCGCACAACATGCCACCGCACCACATCAAAATACTTTAGTTTCACGTGGACCTTAGAAGCTTCCCGTATAGGATTCTTATCTTTATCCACTATCTCAACCCACCTATCTACTTCTTCCCGTTCCAAAAGTTCATGAACTGGTCCAATTAAAAGTTGGACGACGGGATTATCATCTTTAACAGTAAATATCACATTCGACGCCATATGAGCACAGTATAAGTGAAAAGACTCGTACCACTTCCGATTGCTAGGTTCATTTTCTATCATTCTCATCCTCCCAACACTAGCCTTTTCTAAATCAATTATAGCATAAATTTTGGGAGTTCCTTTTCCGAAACCGTCTCCTCAATGTTCTCCATCATCCGCATGAATATTCTACCAATGAGAAACAATAATAAATCCGAGCAACTCAATAATAATCAAGCGCGAAAAGAAATCGGTAGAATGGGTAGCGACTCAAGCAAATTCTGAAATCAAATCAGCTCTATCTCCGACGGAAGAAATGCCCGCCACGTCCCCCCATCACTGTGCAGCCTATCCACTTCAAAGATCGTAACATGGAGTCTCCTATGAAGGAGCCATTTTTCACCTTAAATATTAAAAAATTAAAAATTAACAAACCTATGAATTGATCGATAAATTGAGAAAAATAGTGAATTTAAAATTAAGATACTGACAGAACGGAACGTTAATAGTTGCTTGTGGTTCATTAGTTGTTGGACTCCCTTCCAGTCACTTGATTTTGGTCCATCTCTGGTTTATGAGAAAGGTTTGTGTGCAAGAGAGAAAAGAGGGCAGCCGTATATACTCCTATTTCTTGGTGAAATCGTGAGTAAATTGCTACCTTTTTCTGATCCATCTTTGTAATATTGCAGTCACAATTCTTATCCTTCATGGGTTACAATTGGGCAACCATAGTGAGAAAGTTTGTGAGTTGAGAAATCAATTGGCGGTGTTTGATTTGTGGTCTATAAACTGAGCTCAATTTGCACACAAAATCAAAGTCCTTGGTGTATTTCCACGACCATGCATAATTTTAGTATTATATGTAGATGTTATGTTCACACATGGCGATATTGATTCATTGATTGAGATGACATTTGATGTTAAGTCACATTGATGTGAAAATATTGGAAAGAAAAATTACGTTTTTGCGTATAAAGATTCTTGGTTATGTGAGTATTTATCGGTTAATTATGTCATCCAAGTAAGAGAATATTGGTATCTTTCACTAATTCGTAATCCAATCACAAGAATATGCCCTTGTCTTGGAGAAATTTTAATCAAGATAAAAAAAATGAAAATTTGGATTGTTGCTGGTCTGTTTGAACCCCTTTTTTAGTTGCTTCTCACACTGGGACCCACTTACTGTTCATCCAACGGTTAAAAAAAATGGCTTCTCAAATAGGGTCTATATAGACGAAGGGCCGAGATTCATCATCCCGGTATTCTTTTGACAAACAATTTTTCATAAAATCATTTGATTCTCAGGTAGTACGTGTTAAAGCACATTCATAATAACAGTTTACATAAATATACGAAAACGACTCTCTACATAGACATCAGTTAATTAGACGACAATTATCTCGAACTTCTCCTTTGGACCCTTCTTTAACATCGAGCATACTCATTTTCACCATGGCTTGTTGGAAATCTAGGAAGAACATAGCCTGGTTCATAGCATAACCATTCACTATTCCTCTAGTTCTTGCACTTGCAAACAAAGTTTGATCTGAAAAAAGTACACCATTTTTCCTCTGCAATGCATAGAAATAATCATTGTCAAAACTATTTCTTGTAGAATCAAATGCCTGCTCAGCATTGTCCCCTGCCCTGCATGTTTTGGACAGTGTTTTTGCAAATTTTGTGTCCAACGTAGGATCGACATCATTAGTGGTGTCGAAATTGCTCAATCTGTGTTTGAATGATGAACATCTTGCCACTCCTAGTGTGTGCGCCCCTACAAATCAACGCACCATCAAGAAGTGAGACTGCAATATATCTTTGAAGATTTGATTATAATGTGATAGGATTATAAGTTATTTACCAGACAAAGCCACCATTTCTTGAGCAGTAAAACCACGCTGCCCAAACATCCTTATAAGCCCAGAACTGTTTAAGGTTGGTGGAGGAAGGTTGATCGTGTCTTCTATTTTTGACCTTCTTCCATCTTTTCTTCCTTTAGGTATGTCATATACTGGCCCTCCAGCCTAACATGATTGAATTATAAGCATAAATTAAGTGATTAAGTTAAAACAAAACGAACTTCAGTGACTCAAAAATTAGTCCAAAAGCACAAAACGAAAGGAGAGTTTAGTTTTTATAAATCTTACGAAGAAAACAGCATCCCTTGCAGCCATTGCAAGAATATCAGCACAAGAAACTACTCCTGGACACTGCTTTTCAATTTCTTCCTTTGCTTGATCGATTATTTCATAACCCCTCAAGCTTAAATTTGCTGGGGAATCTTTTTCAGCTGTGTTACCTTTTGTAGAGTCAATTAGTACTGATCCATCACATCCCTACTTCAACAAAATCGAAAATACAATGAATAAACATTAGCATCCATGCATGAATTCAATAACTGTACGTGTTGTGCAATGGCGGAGTGACGACTCGGCTCCAGCTGGGGCCTAGTTTAACTACGGAGAACNGACTCCCTTCCAGTCACTTGATTTTGGTCCATCTCTGGTTTATGAGAAAGGTTTGTGTGCAAGAGAGAAAAGAGGGCAGCCGTATATACTCCTATTTCTTGGTGAAATCGTGAGTAAATTGCTACCTTTTTCTGATCCATCTTTGTAATATTGCAGTCACAATTCTTATCCTTCATGGGTTACAATTGGGCAACCATAGTGAGAAAGTTTGTGAGTTGAGAAATCAATTGGCGGTGTTTGATTTGTGGTCTATAAACTGAGCTCAATTTGCACACAAAATCAAAGTCCTTGGTGTATTTCCACGACCATGCATAATTTTAGTATTATATGTAGATGTTATGTTCACACATGGCGATATTGATTCATTGATTGAGATGACATTTGATGTTAAGTCACATTGATGTGAAAATATTGGAAAGAAAAATTACGTTTTTGCGTATAAAGATTCTTGGTTATGTGAGTATTTATCGGTTAATTATGTCATCCAAGTAAGAGAATATTGGTATCTTTCACTAATTCGTAATCCAATCACAAGAATATGCCCTTGTCTTGGAGAAATTTTAATCAAGATAAAAATGAAAATTTGGATTGTTGCTGGTCTGTTTGAACCCCTTTTTTAGTTGCTTCTCACACTGGGACCCACTTACTGTTCATCCAACGGTTAAAAAAAATGGCTTCTCAAATAGGGTCTATATAGACGAAGGGCCGAGATTCATCATCCCGGTATTCTTTTGACAAACAATTTTTCATAAAATCATTTGATTCTCAGGTAGTACGTGTTAAAGCACATTCATAATAACAGTTTACATAAATATACGAAAACGACTCTCTACATAGACATCAGTTAATTAGACGACAATTATCTCGAACTTCTCCTTTGGACCCTTCTTTAACATCGAGCATACTCATTTTCACCATGGCTTGTTGGAAATCTAGGAAGAACATAGCCTGGTTCATAGCATAACCATTCACTATTCCTCTAGTTCTTGCACTTGCAAACAAAGTTTGATCTGAAAAAAGTACACCATTTTTCCTCTGCAATGCATAGAAATAATCATTGTCAAAACTATTTCTTGTAGAATCAAATGCCTGCTCAGCATTGTCCCCTGCCCTGCATGTTTTGGACAGTGTTTTTGCAAATTTTGTGTCCAACGTAGGATCGACATCATTAGTGGTGTCGAAATTGCTCAATCTGTGTTTGAATGATGAACATCTTGCCACTCCTAGTGTGTGCGCCCCTACAAATCAACGCACCATCAAGAAGTGAGACTGCAATATATCTTTGAAGATTTGATTATAATGTGATAGGATTATAAGTTATTTACCAGACAAAGCCACCATTTCTTGAGCAGTAAAACCACGCTGCCCAAACATCCTTATAAGCCCAGAACTGTTTAAGGTTGGTGGAGGAAGGTTGATCGTGTCTTCTATTTTTGACCTTCTTCCATCTTTTCTTCCTTTAGGTATGTCATATACTGGCCCTCCAGCCTAACATGATTGAATTATAAGCATAAATTAAGTGATTAAGTTAAAACAAAACGAACTTCAGTGACTCAAAAATTAGTCCAAAAGCACAAAACGAAAGGAGAGTTTAGTTTTTATAAATCTTACGAAGAAAACAGCATCCCTTGCAGCCATTGCAAGAATATCAGCACAAGAAACTACTCCTGGACACTGCTTTTCAATTTCTTCCTTTGCTTGATCGATTATTTCATAACCCCTCAAGCTTAAATTTGCTGGGGAATCTTTTTCAGCTGTGTTACCTTTTGTAGAGTCAATTAGTACTGATCCATCACATCCCTACTTCAACAAAATCGAAAATACAATGAATAAACATTAGCATCCATGCATGAATTCAATAACTGTACGTGTTGTGCAATGGCGGAGTGACGACTCGGCTCCAGCTGGGGCCTAGTTTAACTACGGAGAACATCAAACTCAAAATATAATATTAAAAATAATAAAATAGTCATGTAAACAAAGATCTCAAATTTCAGTTGGGGGCAGAGGCAGGAGAGGCCAAAAAAAAATACTGGACTGACACATGGAAAACAAAAAATTTCCGAAGAAATATTTTTTTTTTGCACTAAAAACTAAATGGGCCTTGGGGCATCCCAACGCCATTGGGGCCAGGGACCCCACCTGCCTAGGCCATGGCGGTGTGTAACTCCTACTATTTGCCTTCTTTTTTCCTTGGCAAGTCTGAAGTTCAATTATTGGAAGAAACTGAAATAATCTCTTACCCACTATAGGCAGGGTCGGACGCAGACATTTTAAGTTAGGGAACACAATCAAACCCTGTACAAATCGAATATTTTGTTCTTGATTTTTGAATGATTCATATTTGACTTGAAATAATGCAGATTGACATTTAAAAAAATATTTTTTCATTAAAATTTTGGTAATCATCCATTTGATTTCGAAAAGTCATTTTATTAATATTTTGTTCATCATAAGAAAATGTATATATACATTTAAAAATCTTATAATGTATTTGATACAAACAATCAATTCAAGTAATTCAAAAAAAAAAAAAACATATAACTAATATTCAACACTAATAATCAATCAAATAAACACAATTCGTTAAATATAAGTCAAATTGGATATAATGAGTTCAGAGTCTTCAGACACATTCTATATACACAGTTTGATAAGAGAAAATGCAAATTTAGGTTCTAATTACTTGAAAGTTTGATTGGAAAGTGAAGATTTGTAGAGAAATTATATACAAATTTTAAAAAATTATAAGAGTTATGATTTTGTTAAAATGCATGAGGAAAATAGTAGATGAAAGCAAGAGAAAAATGAAAAATTCAAATTTATTGTAATTTTGTCCATATTTAATGGAAATTAAAATCAAAATTTTTAATAAATTTTGAAATATGTTATTAAAATTAATTGTTAACTTTGATTTAGATTAAAATTTATATTTCAATCGATGCCAAACATAACTTTATCAAAAAAAAAAAATCTCAAAACTTAGGGGGGTCAAGTGACCCCCCAGGGCCCCCTCGGGTCTGCCCTTGACTGTAGGTAGAAGAAAACATGCCCACAGCTAACCTAGCAATGACGTGGCGTTGTCACATCAACAGTCAAGTTTACAATTTTTTATAATTCAACGTTGAATTGTCAAGAATTATAAGTTCGTGTCAGCGGTGGACAAGATAACTCCTATTTACCATAGATAGGAGATCATTTCTGTTGAAAGAAGATTGTGATAGGTTGATAGAAGCATTAAACTTTATCACAAACAAAAAAGAAAAGAATTCACGCAGACCACCCTAAATTTCATTAAAAAAAAAAAGTGAAAGAGAGAGAACCTCTACAAAGCAGTCGTGGAAATGCATCCTGACTAGGCCTGCTGCAAGAGTGGGATCAGATTGCAAAGCCATGTTAACAGTATTCTTGATAATTCCCTCAGCAAATGGACAATTCATTATGTAATAATTCATACTCAAGCCTTCCACTCCAAATCTCAATCCACTCGCTATAGTATCCATTGCTAATATTAAAGCAAACATATAAGACATGGCCATTTGTGCTGGTTTCACAGGATAATGCTGCAGCAGCATCAAGAGAGATGAAAACCCAGAATTTGTGGGAGAACTCTGGGAGTTTAAGTGGAGGAAATGGCTATTTATATATATAAGCTATGAGTGGAAAGGAAAAGGAAAATGATGACAAAAAGTTAGAAATAGTGGCCCATAATCTTCTCCACCTAATCTTAGTTTAAGCAATGAAATTGCATGAGGTTTACAAGTTAACAAGGCGGCAATTATAAATCAAATCATGCACTAAACCTCAGGTGTTTGAGGGTGATAAAAGATAAATATAGTAATTAGAACACTAATTGTTGGTTTAGATTTGTCACTTTTTCTTGTTTTATCATCAACTTCCATGAATGTTGATCCCATATATAAATAGTCAATTGTGGATTGTGATGATGTTCCAATATAAATTTTTTGGTGTGTTCAACTAGTATTTTAGCTTTGCTTGTCGTCCGAAATGCAGATAAAAGAGGATATTAATTGTGGTAGACTGACAATCAGTATAAAACTTTGTCAAATCTTATGAGATGAAGATTAAAAAGGCCATGTTCATAAGAGTGATGTGATCTCAATCGAGAACATTAGAAAAAGGTGGAGGTAAGTCAAAGTTAACTCGATTATGATAATTGTTAGGAACATAATTGTTTTAAATCTCCCAATAAAATGTTTGACCGACAAAATAGAGCGACAAAAAAAGATTCACATAATCAAATCAAAATTTTAGTATTTTCTAGAAGTTGCAAGGTGATGAGTGCAAAATAAATTAATTATTTAATATATAAAGTCAAAAATGAAAAGTGTAAAAGATACCTGTGATCGACTGATCGATCCATTCAATAATTAAGAAAATCAGAACAGCCCCATAAGAGTTGATTGAAACCTATATATCAGCATCAGCAAGCCGTCATTTAGAAATTTGAGTACATTAATCAGCACAATTAGTCACTTAAAATTAAAAATTAGGACAAATTACAAGTCAAAAAATGGTGAAAATAACAAGGATTTCGAGATTGTTTGAGCCTCATTTTTTGCAAAAATCATTTTTCTCTCTTATTTTCAACCACACAATATTCAATAAAATAATATTACACGCAAATTTTTTAAAAAAATTATTTTTTAACCGCACATTTTCCATCAATCACTATTTCAAAATACATTTTTGTGCAAAAAAATGGACTCAAACAAGCTCTTAGTGTCGACTGATCGATAGGTTAGATCTTTTGTTTCTTGAAATGGTCCTCGATAATCATTACTATTAAAAATTTTAAAAATGACAAATACCACAATGAACAAAATTATCTATTTTCTTCCACTATGGTCCATTTCACTAAATACACTATACTAATATTAAACTTCACTTAAAATACAAATTTTAAATTAAAGTACATATATCATGTAGTGAGAAGTCAAAATGGAAGTGGAATATTTGATGACACTCCCTAGTTATTGCATAGCTGGTTCCCATATTTAAAGTGAAATGTTTTGACACTATACACCTCACTATCATCTTTTAGAAGGTGGAGGAAAATTTCCCCACATGCATTAGTGCGTTCAACGCGGTTTTCACGCACGCATGCATACATTGGTGTAGGTTGGGATTGGAAAAGTTATGGGTTATAGGATAGGGATCTAGGAGATTGGGATTTTTGTACATGGCATTCCTAACCTAATAATTGAAGCTCTATGGACTAATAAATCCCACAAAAAAAACACAAAAAAAAAAGAAAAAAGGAAAGGAAAAGTCTTGTCGATTAATGGATAGGAACAAATTATTAAATATCAGTCTAAATGAAAACACTTGTCTTGACATCTTGAGCATGGACGAAAGTGGTGGTTTTGAGGTTATGGTTCTATAAGATGTGTCAAAAAATAGAGTCGAACAGTATTTCTTGATGTTAAAATCTGATTACTTGAGGTGCGAACATAGTTGATTTTGAATTGAGAACTACCTTATTCATGTGAAAGACATGGGATAATCTTAAAATATATATTGCCCTAACATCTAATTCGTCTACACATTACTCTACTTGTTAAAATTTTTGAACGTTATTTTACAGGTAATATAATAATGCATACATTACCCTACCGTGTAATTCGTAGAAAATGTTGATTTTTAATCAAAAAAATGAAATATTGACTTTTAAATGAAAAGAAAGCATGTTTCAAAAAGAATAAAATGAGGTCAATGTAAAATATTGATTTTTAATGAAAAAGTTATATTTAAAAAATATGTAAAAAAGAGAGTATTTTTTTTAAAAAAATGGATAAAAGTAGGGTATATGTGAAGTTCGTTCATGAATCAAGTTCAACATAAAGCCCAAGTTAATTTTTAGGCTAATGGGTCTGAAATATGAAGGGCCATATTCCTTTTGCTCAAGTGGACCCATTTCAACTGGCCATTTTAAAAGTTGTGGAAATTACGTGGAACCATATTTTTTAAGTTACCATTTCAAAAATCAGATTTGAAAGTTTTTTTGTTCAAAAATCACATGATAATTTAATTTTTAATATTATAATATAACATTAAGAGTGTGTTTGAGACACATTCTTTTGAAAGAATGTATTATTGAATAGAAGATTGATGGAGAATGTGTGGTTAAAAAAGAATGAAAAGTTATTGATGTGATGAAAAATATTATTTTATTGAAGAATGTGTGGTTGAAAATGAGTAGAAAAATGAAAATGAAAAAAATAATATGTATCAAACATGGCCTAAATTAAATTAATCTACAACCTTCACTTTACCTATCTCACAAACCCTAATTCATTTTGAAAAATATCATCTTCCCGTTGCTTCATTTGAACCTACTCTAGCGACTCCTCAAGGCAATCACTCCGACGACTCATCATGACATATTGACATAGTGGCGGCGCCGGCTTTCCTTCGTGCACGGTAGCGTACCGTAGCTCAAGGTTTCTCACAAATATTAGGAATTAATTATAAGGAAATATATTCTCCCATAATGGTTACCATCACTTTTAGATTCTTAATTAGTTTGACTGTGTCACAAATGCCCGATATGCGTTTTATGGATGTAGTGACTGACTATTTTTATAGTTCAGTTGATAATGACATACACATAAAAGTCTTTGAAGAACTTAAAGTGAGAGAAACAAATGATACATGCTTGGGAATCATGTTCTCGATTAAATTGCAAAGATCATAAATTAAAACAATCTGGACACGTGGTATAATCGCCTCAACGAACATTTGTTGAACGAATGCTATATTTGTCCATGTGTTTTCATAAAGAAAATAAATATTAGATTTAAGATTTAGGTAATTTATGTTGATGACTTAAATTTAATTAGAACTTCTAATGAACTCAGCAAAATTGCAGATTATTTGAAAATGAATTTGAGATTAAAGATTTGAAAAAATCAAATTTTGTCTCGTGTTGCAAATTGAAATTTTTTCAGAATGCTTATTTGTTCATCAATCTACATAAACAGAAAAGTTTTAAAACGATTTTATATGGATAATGTACATCCATTGGAATCACTTATAGTTGTTCGATCATTTGATGTGAAAAAAATTGCAATCCATGAAGCAGACCGAGAATGTGTATGGTTGAGGAACGTGACCTATCATATCCAAATGTCATGCAGATTAATTTCAAGAAAAAATAGTTCAACAATTTTGTACGAAGATAATAATATTTGTATTGCATAATTCAAATGAGGTTATATCAAAGCACGAAGCATATTTCTCCAAAATTCTTTCATATACATGAGTTTCAGAAAAAAAAATGACGATATTAATATTCAACAAATTCATTCAAGTGACAACGTGACTGATTTATTTACAAAAACACGGTCAACACCTACATTCAAGAATTGGTTCACAAGATTGGAATGCGTCGACTCAAAGATTTTCAATGATCAATATCAGGGGAGTAACTATACTCTTTTTCATTCGCTTGAGTTTTATCCCACTGAATTTTCTTAACAAGGTTCTAACGAGGCAGCATTTATCTTTAATACTTCAAAATAACTGTACTATTTTTCTTTCGTTTGATATATATATATATATATTTTGTATCATTGAATTTTTATCGAACAAGGTTTTAACAAGACAAATATTTTGTAATGTGTCATTCAAGTGGGAGTGTTGTAAATGATAAGTTATTGATGAATAACAATTGTACTCCTACAATCCTAGAAATTATTACCATATGTATCCCTAATTATTACCCATAAATATAGGGTTTTGATTCTCATTATAATACACACAAATATGTTAGACTTTTATTTTCTTGTCCTTTTCTCTCAGCTATCCAAAATTTATGAACTTGCAAAAATGGAGCCCAAACAAGAGGTGATATTAATGGATGTGAATCAGGGTATCCTCCATTGATTCTAATGGATGTGAAACGGAGCTATCCTCCATTTATTTCAATGGGAGTAAATGGCATTTCAAATTTACAAATCCACCGACAGAAGAATTATTATTCCATAAATATATATGTGATTTGTGTAAAAAATCAGTGATCCAAATGCCTTCAATCCCTACACCCACATTAAAATCCAGAAGAAAAAAGATAAAATAAAAAAAAAAAGGAAAAAATTCCGGACTGTTTATCTTCTTTCGGTGGTATAAAAATCTTAAATCCCTGAATCCTTTTCTTCCACATCAAGAAAAATATCTTAACTTTTCTCCTTCATTCATAGTTCTATCTGGATCTGTTTTATCAAGGTACATTTCACATTTGCGGACTTTTGCATTATATAGAGCATTCTCCCTTTCTTGAATTTAATTTCTGGGTTTCGTTCGTTTTGTTTTATGTTTCCTGCAGGAGGAAATATTTTTGATTGAAATAATGTCGGAGGGCACGGATTTAAATGGAAATGGCCAAAATGGGTTCAATTCAAACGCGAAATCCTTTAAAATTTTCATAGGTTATGATTCGCGGGAGGATGTTGCATATGAAGTTTGTCGCTACTCCATACTGAAAAGAACCTCAATCCCAATTGAGATTTTCCCCATTAAGCAATGTGAATTGCGCCAAAAGGGGATTTACTGGCGTGAAAGGGGGAATTTGGAGAGCACTGAATTTTCTTTCTCGAGATTCTTAACCCCATATTTGGCGAATTACCATGGTTGGGCCATGTTCGTGGATTGTGATTTCTTGTATTTAGGTGATATTAAGGAATTATTTGATTTGATTGATGATAAGTATGCAATAATGTGTGTACACCATGATTACACGCCTAAAGAGGCCACCAAAATGGATGGAGCAATTCAGACTGTGTACCCAAGAAAGAATTGGTCATCTATGGTTCTGTACAATTGTGGGCACCCGAAAAACCTGGTGCTAACACCTGAGGTGGTGAATAAGGAGACGGGGGCATTTCTGCACAGGTTTCAATGGTTGGAGGATAACGAGATTGGGGACTTACCATTTGTCTGGAATTTTCTTGTGGGGCATAACGCGGTTGTTGTGGGTGATCCCGGAACATACCCTAAGGCTATACATTATACACTTGGAGGGCCGTGGTTCGAGAAGTGGAAGGACTGTCAGTTCGGGGATTTGTGGTTGAATGAACTGAAGGAGTACAAGAAGAGCGTGGAGAAGGTGGACGAGGTGAAATGAGGTATAACTTGGTTGTTCCTATTCTTCACTCGGGTTTTTCCAGTATGTTTTCCTCCGAACATCTGTGGATTGGGTTGATCTTCCTTTGCAGATAATACAGGGTTACTTGCATATGCCTCTACTATTGTACGTACTATTCATATTGTTTCGGCTGTATTTATTGTATGTTGTGGTATAACCGATCATTCTCAAGAGATGGGATTGTAATATCATATTTCCTAGTGAATGCTATTTCTTCCATTCACGTGGTTTACTTTTCTTGCGTTATTTAATGAGTTAATATTTCGATGTAAAAAAATTGATTTCTTGATTTTACGATTGTTGTGTGTTTTTGTTGAACATTTATTTAGTTTTGTTGTACCATTTATAATTTGAGGTGGAAAAAACGATTGATTTGTTCTTATTCTGAGTTTTTTCCCTACAAAGTTATGGATCAATGTTTACAATGCTTGAATCGAGATTCACGATTTGCTCAATTATCATTTATTATAAGAGTTTCAAAAGTTTCAACATATCTTACTGACTATCACATTTAAAGATAATTATCTTGTTCATTAGTTCAATAGGTGGATTGCCTTATGGTGTAGCAAGTTCACTTATATCAACATTTTTGGCTTTTTTTTCCCCTTGATTTCTAAACGGTGGTTGCAATTTCTTCTATATAGAGACGTTACATGATTGCTTAATACATTTGGACCATTGCATACTGGACAATATTGCACATGAAATAAATAAAATTATTCTCTCTTAATCATGTTTTGTCATAAATCACGCATATTAAACATGTTATTATAGTTTTGGTAGCTTGCTACTATAGTAGTTATTTGTTACTACTGCATTTTACATTATGCCACATGGCAAACTGTTATTTGACAATTCAAAAAAAGAAAGAACTTCAACCGATCATATTTGAATTAACTTGCTCTACCAGGCTAACTCTCACATGAGGTGGGTCCCTTAAAAAAAACCCTCCCAAATGTTTAAACACCCACCCCCCACCTCACATTTGCACTGCCGGACCTTTTAGCAATGCAGCACGGTTCATCATATTTTTACAACAAGGATAATGCCAATAAATGTGTAAATATTGAAATGTACAGATGATATTATCCTAAAAATAATATAGAATCTAAGTTTGGTGAGCTGTTAATTTGTTATTTTTATTTTTCTTGTCGGGCATTGATTAGGCCTACGACTTATCACTTATCAGTATTCGTTGGCATGTGATTGCATTTGTATTATGATAGGTACTTTTGCTTGTACTTTTTGATAATGCATTTCGGTTACAGCTGTGACAGAAAAAGCATCCAAAGGGAAAACTTGTACAGTGTGCTATCGTCTTCCGAACCACAAGTCTATAGCTACGTCTAAATCCTGCCCTTTTCCCTTTCTTTTTAAACATGTTTATCCCATGTGTTGATTTAGCATGAAAATTTGATAAAAACAAGGACCAGCCTCAACGTAACCCCTATCGAACACACACAAACATGGTGGGGTGGATATTTTTTGGGTGATTTTTTAATGAGGCGGGTATCGCATGGGACCCACCTCATGTGAGAGGTTCGGCTCTGTCACGCCTTTTACATAGGGGGTGGCCAAAAGTCTCGAACTGAACTAGATCAAACCGAACCTAATCGAATCGAACCGAACGGTTATTCATAAGTTAAATACCCGAACGGGTACCCAAATCAAGAACCGATGGGTTTGAGTCTGGTCTCGAGCTATTTTTTATATTGAAGTAACTAAATTATTTTATTTTTTTCGAAACAAATTAACAAATTAATTAAATAAATCAGATTATTTCAGAATTTTAATTTTAAAGCTCAAATCATTTATAAAGTCCATTAGCCCATTTTAATTTGCTTATGACTACATGGCTATTCGAATTTGCTCATTAAATTTATAGCCTTCAAATGAGATAAAATTAATCTTATTGGACGACTAGTTATTTATATGTTTTTGAATTAGGCTACGTTAATTTGTAAAACTTATGAATGAAATATCATTAGTTGTATTTATGTAGTGTTGCTGTAAATATTAAAAAATTTNAGGTGGAAAAAACGATTGATTTGTTCTTATTCTGAGTTTTTTCCCTACAAAGTTATGGATCAATGTTTAGAATGCTTGAATCGAGATTCACGATTTGCTCAATTATCATTTATTATAAGAGTTTCAAAAGTTTCAACATATCGTACTGACTATCACATTTAAAGATAATTATCTTGTTCATTAGTTCAATAGGTGGATTGCCTTATGGTGTAGCAAGTTCGCTTATATCAACATTTTTGGCTTTTTTTTCCCCTTGATTTCTAAACGGTGGTTGCAATTTCTTCTATATAGAGACGTTACATGATTGCTTAATACATTTGGACCATTGCATACTGGACAATATTGCACATGAAATAAATAAAATTATTCTCTCTTAATCATGTTTTGTCATAAATCACGCATATTAAACATGTTATTATAGTTTTGGTAGCTTGCTACTATAGTAGTTATTTGTTACTACTGCATTTTACATTATGCCACATGGCAAACTGTTATTTGACAATTCAAAAAAAGAAAGAACTTCAACCGATCATATTTGAATTAACTTGCTCTACCAGGCTAACTCTCACATGAGGTGGGTCCCTTAAAAAAAACCCTCCCAAATGTTTAAACACCCACCCCCCACCTCACATTTGCACTGCCGGACCTTTTAGCAATGCAGCACGGTTCATCATATTTTTACAACAAGGATAATGCCAATAAATGTGTAAATATTGAAATGTACAGATGATATTATCCTAAAAATAATATAGAATCTAAGTTTGGTGAGCTGTTAATTTGTTATTTTTATTTTTCTTGTCGGGCATTGATTAGGCCTACGACTTATCACTTATCAGTATTCGTTGGCATGTGATTGCATTTGTATTATGATAGGTACTTTTGCTTGTACTTTTTGATAATGCATTTCGGTTACAGCTGTGACAGAAAAAGCATCCAAAGGGAAAACTTGTACAGTGTGCTATCGTCTTCCGAACCACAAGTCTATAGCTACGTCTAAATCCTGCCCTTTTCCCTTTCTTTTTAAACATGTTTATCCCATGTGTTGATTTAGCATGAAAATTTGATAAAAACAAGGACCAGCCTCAACGTAACCCCTATCGAACACACACAAACATGGTGGGGTGGATATTTTTTGGGTGATTTTTTAATGAGGCGGGTATCGCATGGGACCCACCTCATGTGAGAGGTTCGGCTCTGTCACGCCTTTTACATAGGGGGTGGCCAAAAGTCTCGAACTGAACTAGATCAAACCGAACCTAATCGAATCGAACCGAACGGTTATTCATAAGTTAAATACCCGAACGGGTACCCAAATCAAGAACCGATGGGTTTGAGTCTGGTCTCGAGCTATTTTTTATATTGAAGTAACTAAATTATTTTATTTTTTTCGAAACAAATTAACAAATTAATTAAATAAATCAGATTATTTCAGAATTTTAATTTTAAAGCTCAAATCATTTATAAAGTCCATTAGCCCATTTTAATTTGCTTATGACTACATGGCTATTCGAATTTGCTCATTAAATTTAAAACCTTCAAATGAGATAAAATTAATGGCAAATTAGGCCCAATACCCTAAAATCTTAACTAAATTGATTAATACCCTAATAACTAATTAAATAATTGAAAACCATAATTAATACATTATAAAAACTCCAAACCCCCTCCCCAAAACCAGCCAATATATCTTTCACCTAATGTCCTACCGTCGTCGAAAGACCCAACCACTGGCATTTGATGCGATTTCAACATCCATTATGGGCATGCCCCTCTTTAATTCGTACGGTTTAGTCTTAATTTCATTTTCCCCCCAAAATTTTTGATAATTTTAGATCTAAAGTCTAAATTTTTTTTTTTTTCATTTGCAATCAGAATTCTTGTCCAGTTTGCATATATGAGTTGCATACTAATAGCAATATCTATGGTAATAGCAATAGGGACACAAGTGAAGTGCACAGAGGAGTAAACGAGGTAAGGAATGATGATGAGACAGTTGGATTGACGCTATAGAGATTGCCTTGTGGTGGGTTTGCTTTAGGCCAACTTTCGAGAGGAAGGAGGGATGTGGAGAAGCAGTTGGCAGTGAGTTTGTATATCATATTCTCCATACCCTTGTCGACTTAGGTAAATAGGAACGCAGAGCACTTACTCTTTTTGTGTTTGCTTTACCAACAATTTATGCATACCAATTGTTCAAAAAAATGCCGCAATATGAATGTGCTGCGAAAAGTTTGAAATGGCTTTAACCAAGCTTGCTATGAATGTTTTGTTTTCGAGTAGTGTTTTGTCCCTTTTTCTAATATTTGCAGTTTTTTTTTGAATTCATATCACTTTTTTTGTGTTTGTCACTTTTTCTATCATCTTTTTTTTAACTGTTTGTTACTTCTTTTTAAAGCAAAAGAACAAAATTAAACCTTAAATGGCCTGGTTGCTGTTGAGAAACTATTTTCATCATCAAAGTTTATCCTTTCGAAAGCATTGGACTGAGGTAGATTGAGGTCCACGTATTTTATCCTGTTATTGAATTTTATTTTTTAACGTTATATGTGGAATAGTGCTAAGGCACAGCACTACGGAAAAAAAATTAATTTCAATAATCATCTCCTGGTTCTACATTTTAAGAAAGTTCGTTGAAAATTCATCTATGTTCAACGGTATTAATGCTATAGTTCAAGTTTTCTAAGTTTAAGGATTGGGATGCACATATGATTACTATCGAGTTTCAAACTACCCTTTTCAAGTTGAGTTACTTGTGAAGCACAATGCTTTTGTCAAATTACAATGTAGACTCGTGTCACTTTTTTTTTGCTTCCGTCATTGTTAAAATTTTTGTCACTTTTTTTTTTTTAAATTGGCATGAGAGGGTTCTAAATAAAAAAGGTCCTTAAATAAGCATCTCACTGAAAAAATAATAATAATAACCTAAAAAATCTTTTGTTTCTCACACAAATCAGTATAGTACGACCTTTTTTTAAGTTTGTCATTTTTTTT